CGGGCTTGCAGTTCCCTAAAGGGATATGGAATAAAGGAGCTGCAAGGTGTGAGGATCGGATTCTTCCCTGGTGTCCAGACAGGAGGCCCAGAGGCTGGGCCAGCCAACAGTGGTCCCTTAAATATAGACATTTCATCTCCCATGAACTTTCAGCTTGCCATCTTCTGGGCATTCTGCACAGATTCTATAAGCGCGAGAGGGGATCCCTGCTACCATGTAAGGGATGGCAGGGCAGCCACATGCCCTGAAAGGCATGAAGGCCTCCAACCGTGGCACGATGTTCCAAGAGCAGACCACGAATGCACAAACGCTGAGAGGGAGGCGGGGGAGGAGGACAGCTGTGGGTCCAGACTGTGTTCAGGCTCCCTGGGGGGCTCAGGTCCCTAGGTGGAAATATGCCACCCTCAGAAGAGGAAGGCCAGGGTGAAGCCCATCCCTGGGCTCTGGCTCCATCTGTCTAAATAGGCCAGAAGCCATGATGACTGCCTTGGGGGTGCTCTGAGAGCAGCTGCCTGCTAAAAGCAAGCTGCTCCAGCGATGGGTGGTGGTGGAAGCCAGATGGTTGAAGACGCTGGTCTAGTTTATACGGCCTCACGAGCCCCGAGGAGCATCAGAGAGTCAGGAACTCATAAGGGTCCGGAGACTCACATGCGTAGTACCTCATATGCGCAGGACTAAGGCCTACAGACCTAGCTGATAAAGGTCAGCTCTGGAGGGACGCAGAGCTGAATGGCTGAGGGCTAAGCTCATAAAGCCTCCAGGAACTGTGCTCACACCCACACCTTAGTTCTCCTGTTCCCATACTGTGCTGAGGGAGAGGCCACTGATGTCACCTAGAGCCAAGCTCCGGGTCAGGGGCCAAACTCCTACCTTTGCCCTTCCTTGGCTTGAGGTTCAGGAAAACTACTCAGACTGAAAGACAGAACCAGAGGAAAATGCGCTCCGCCTAAAGCTAGAGGCATTCTAATTAAGCTCAAAGAAATACTAGTCTGGATTGCCGAAGGAAGTAGTAGCTATTTCTGGAGAAGAGAGACCCATCCTTCCGCCTGTGACAATCTGAGTAAAATAGAGTGATTTGCAACTCTCCTCCGTGTTCGTTTCCCTTCCTTTTATCTGTCCACATTTCTCTTCTGCTTTTGGTATCCAAGTGGACCAAAGGCTCACCCTGTTTGCCCCCCTGTCATGGGGACCTTTAAGCATGGACAGAGTTCAGCCGGTGTTTACTGAGCCAACACCTGCTTGGAGATGGAAGAGCCCAGGCCAAGGTCTCAGCGTGTACTCAGGTGGCAGATCAGACAATAATTCCAGGCCAAAGGCAGGACAGAGCAAGGTATATGCTGAAGCTATGGCCTCGGAGACCATAGGGACAGGGAAGTCTTTTGGAGGTATCGTTTGGAAGCAGAGCTTCTACACTGATAGAAACCAGTAGAGAGAGGAAAAAAATGGAGGAGGGGGGAAGTGGAGAGTAAGTTATTAAAAAATGATAATCTTGAATACAGAGGCACATAGAAAAGGTTCGGCTCAACTAAAAGCAAACTGGTCAGACCATGAAGTCCTAAGACAGCCTGGATGGCTTGTGGTTCGCAATGTAGGTAGTGGAGAGCCATAGAAATAGCGAGGAAAAAAGTATGGCATTATTTGGGCTGGGGTTGTTAGCAGGGTTTCTAGATCGTCCTCCTTTCCTAATATTTTGCTTTTGATCCTTGCTTTTGGGTCCTGACACCAGCCAGGACTCCTAGGGAAAGCAGTTTGGCTCTCAATGGTTACCCTTTTGGTAAGATCTGCAGTGGCAATCCTAATTTTTAAATCATTTATTACAGTTTAAGAGCTTTTAAATTTACCTCAGTTTTTCAATTACGTATAGGTGTGTCCGTCTGCATGTGTGTGCGTATGTGTCTGTGGAGACCAGAGGCATCAGATCCTCTGGAGCTGGGGTTATAGATGGCTGTAAACACCTCACATGAGTTAAGGGAACCAAACCCAGGTCCCTCTGGAAGAGCCAAGTGCTCTTGACTGCTAAGCATCTCTTTAGTCCCCTGGAGGCCCAATTTAATGACCCAGCTCTGAGGTATCCTGAGACCCCTTTTCTTTCTCTGGGTTTTTGTTAATCTGTCTGTTTCCATATTATACATATTTTTCTCCTCCTAACATACTCCATCTAGAATTCACACTGCTTTGCCAAGCCTCATGGTTATACTCCTGTAACCCCAGCACTTGGGAAGCCGAGGCCAGAGCAATGACACGATTTTGAGGCTATCCTTGGCTACTAGGTGAGATGCTGTCTCTAAAAGAGTAAGAACAAATAATACACAAAAAATCAACAGAGTTTAAGCTGCCTGTCCAATGCCCTGCCCTTCTCCAGCAGAGCTAAGACCTAAAAGGCCAGACTGTGTCTAGTTTACATTCTTCTGACCCCAGTGCCCAGCCTAGCGTCTATACACCAGGCACCAGCAGCCCGTTGTTGAGTTGGTAAAGGAGGAATGCCTGCTTTGCTTGCTCTGCTCCCTCTCTGGCACCACACCCTCGCTTCCTGAGGCTTGGCAGGGCCTGAGCCTCCTGGTGGAAAAATCTCCGAGAAAAATCAGACAGAACTGTGTCACTTCCCTCTTTGCCTCTCACCCTTGCCAGGAATCTTGGAAGCTTTGAGCTTCCATCTAATCGCCCCCATCTAATCGCCACTGTCGTCTGTCATCTTGGAGTGGAGCCTGTAGCCTGCAAGGCACACTGCACCTCGGGGAAAGTGAGCGGGCTGCAGGTAACAGCTTTGACATGAAGCCGGCCCTGTGCAAGGGTGCTGGCTTGCTGCCCTACTGTGACCTCCACCGTCAGCAGGGGAAGTTATTCTGTCTGTTTTACGGATGGACAAATAGAGACTTAGAGAGGCTCATGGTCGTGGAGGAGCAACACCTTTGCACTTGGAAAGGAACTTGGTTTGGAATGCAGGCCTGTCCTCCTTTACCAAGCACCAGTCTCTTGCTGGCTTGCGGCTTTTCCTCCAAGGAATGCAAGGCTAATGGCAACGGATGCTCTGTCCAGGGTGCTGATCCTGGGTACTCTCTGCCAACCTCCAGCACCCCAGAGCCAAGGACAATGACTTCATGTCTGCGGCCTAGCCTGAACTTGCAAGAGTGTTACAGTCCCTGTCTGCTTTGGGCAGTGGCCAGATGACCTCTCCTCACTCTGAGGTGGACAAGGCTGGAATCTAGACCAGTCTCATGGACCCAGATGAAACCTCAGCCACCCCTACCCAGCGGCCTCTGAAGCCAATATCCAGCTTGTGTTTACGTCAGGGCTATGGTTAAGAGGCATAATCTTAATTAAACCTTCAAACTCGGGAGAGGGGCTATGGGTGGCTACACTCCCACTCCTTGGGAATTCAGTACACCCCCTTGAGGGTGAAAAATGCTGTCTCAAAAGGCATTATTGTTTCCTTATAGTGTAAAACATAGTTAAGATATATCCAGTTTCTGCTTTCAAGGCCCTTAGAGGGCAGGTTAGGGCATCATCATTAAACAGGCCACAGGGAACCATGCATGACTGTAGACTCCAGGAGTAAGATGGCTATTCTGTGCTTTATGGGAGAGTTAATCAAGGAGCAGAGAGTGGCTGGGAGAAAGCAGGCTTTTGTGATGAGCAGAGCTAAGATGGTATCCACTTGCTGAATGCTAGGTGCTGCTTCAGGCACTTTACAGGTATTAATCTATTTAACCTTCAGTGACCTTAAGGTTCTACTATTTCCCCCATCTTACAGATAGTGATTGAGGTACACAGAGATGGCAAGGCTGGCAAAAGGTCAGAGTCCTGAGCTCTGAACAATGTTCACAGCTGCTTTCCACAGACATCCAGAGGGGAGAAATCAGGGTCGGACAGTGAGACCTGGAGGGGGACAGAAGTCTGTGTTGCCCACATCCAAGGCCACCTGCCTTGGAGGGCTCTCCTTGGGGAAGAATAGGAAGTTGTAAGGGCTACAGGAACACTGAGCACTCTGCACAGAAAAAGAAACAGATCTAAGATGACCTTAATGGATAACAGCGACAATTGCAACATTCTTGGCCAACAGCCTGCACAGGGCAGCATTTTCTCCATGAAAGAGAGGCGATAGACACTCTCAGAGGCGGGGGAGATCTTACCCTATTACAGCTTCCCTGCTCAGCTTCAAGGGCCCCCTTATCCTTTTCTCTAAGATTCGAACAGTAGCGCTCTCCCTTCTGAAATGGGGGAGAAAGACTCCACTAGGTGCACACCTGGTTCCCAACACATTCTGCCTTCAGATGTGGGACAAAGCAGTGTGAGTTGGTTAAGGCAGCCAGATATGGCAGAGGAGAGGAAGAGCACCCAGGGCAGAGGCTGGGCTGAGGCCTTCAGGAAGGAGGCACTGAAACAGAAAGCTTCCTGTGCGGTGTTGACGCGATGACACCTGAGTCCTCTGGGCTACTCAGTACCAGCACTGGATTCTCTATGGATACTAAGTGATGCTCAAGAAGACGGACTGAGCTGGATGAGCTCAGTGAGATCCCTTCCAGCCCCCGAAGTCTGAAGATACTATCTGTCTTAAAGCTTTCCAGACGAGTTCCCAGAGTCAGAGAGGGCTCAGAAGAGCATTACCTGGCCCTGTCCTGAGTCTACTCCCCACCCCCAGAGCATCTAGGCAAGACCCTCCACAGATGGCCCAGCTAGGAGCTCAGCCTGGGGCATTGCCAAGGAACAGAGGACAAGTTGCCCATAGCTCTCAAGTTTCCCTCAAGCCTCAGGAGCCTGAGCCACCTGAGCTGGTGCCCTGTGCAGAGAGTTCAGGTCCTGCTGGTCCCCCCAGTCAGGCAGTGGTTAAAGAAGTTCATGGAAGCAAGTGCTGACTTTTCCCAAGAGGTTCATGGAAGGCTTTTACCCAAGTGCTGACTGACACACCACAGACAATGGGACAACCGTACGGACACATCTCCCAAGGTTGAGGGAGGGAACTAGTGTTAGGGTTGGGAGATGTTGGGGCAGAGGCGCCTTACCTGGAGCAGCAGGTGTCGGTGAGAGTTCAGGCTGAAAGGATATATCCCCGGGCCTTTCTGTTCTCAACCAGTCCCTGGGAAGAGGGGAGAGTTACTTCCAAATGACCCTGCAGCGTCTCGCCAGTTCTTGACTACCAAAGCGTTTTCCTTCAAAGCTCTGTGGCATAGGGACAAGGGAACACTCTCAGGATAGGCAGGCAGGGATCCCAGTCCTCAGTAAACAGCTCCTCCCCAAACCTAAGCCAGCCAGGCCCCTCCTAGGACCAATGTGCTTTGTCAGCATCTTCCCACTGGGCCAGCCTGGGGCGCTCTGGTAGGGAGAAGGGTCCCTTCAGAGGCCAATGAGTGCTTGACACATGGCCTGAGTGAGCCATGCCAGAGGTCCTGGACAAGAGGGTGGACAGAGACAGAGCACTATACTGGTGTTTCTGGCCCTTCTGGTTCTGTCCCTTGTCCCCTGGTGAGCTGAAGCACCCTGCTTTCCCTCATTGTGATGGGAACTTCAGCCTGGATGTAGAGCTAAAGCTGGCAGTGCTAAGAAGGAAGGACATATAGGCCAGAGTCATCTGAGCAGCCCTTACTGAAAATGGGCCTCTTGACCGGCCCCCGACTGGCCACTAAGAACAAGCCCAGGAAGGTACCAAGGGATCTGCATGTCCGCATCTTTCCAAAAGGGGTACGGGAGAGGGCAGCCAAGCCCAAGGATGCATGGGTGTGTGACGCAAGGGCAGTCACACACCACATCCTCAGTTTCTCTCCTCAAAGCATCGCCAGTGGAGCCCCATGTCTGCGGAGACTAGCCAGCGACCCTGGGAAGCTTGTGGGACACATCTCTAGGTTTTAGCTTCCTTGTGGACAAAATGAGAGGAGGGATACTCTCTCACGGACCCTTTCAGACATAACACTGCCAAGAAAAGGAGAGGCGGAGCCACAGAAAAGGAGCATAAAATGGAAATCCGGGGCCAATGTCACTTAGTGGCAGAGCCCTTGGCCAGCATGAGCAAGGGCCTGGGTCTGATCCCCAGCGTTGCCAAAAAAGAAAAAGAAAAAAGTGTCGGGTGAGGCGTTTTGAATCGTTTTCTCCCTTCGCAAGTGGTTTCTTCTAAAATGTTCTTTTTAAACCCTGAAAACAACACGCTTATGGGAAAGAAAGATCCACTCAAGGTAATCACACAATGGAAATGGAATCGGGCGTGCTGCCTTCCCAGGGCTCTGATGCATGTCTGGACAGATAGAAAACGTGCATGAATATGCACTTATCCCTGTGTCTTCACGACCCTGCCAACCTTTGCTTTGCTCATAAATGTAAGTCACGCATCTCTGTATCCAATATCTCCAGTTTGCCAGCGTTCCACTGAACTAGCCCTACAGATCACATGATTCTAACCTTGTTGCTCTGTCTGTCTCTCTCTCTCTCTTTCGGTAGTCCCTTCATCCCTTTCTGTGCCTGTGTCTGGCCTTGAACTCGCTGTGTAGACCAGGCTGGCCTAGAACTATCATCTTCCTATTCTGGCCCCTCAAGTGCTAGGATTATAGGGGCTGCATTCATCATTCCTGGCTTGTTTTCTCTATTCTTGATGCGAGAAGCTGCAAGGAGCATTTCTGAGATCAGAAACCCCTAGGTTGAAGGTTGTGTAGCTCTGAGATGCTAATACATATGGCCAAACTGTCCTGCAAGAATGAGGCGGTTTGTACAGCCCAGCAGGGCAGGCAGTTGCTGAGCTTTCTGCGCCACTAACAGCACAGAACATGGTCACCGTTCTAAAACGCGAATATGTTTTTCAACATACCTTTTGTCAATTATTTTAACTTGAATAGGTTTTTCTGATGACGCGTTCAGGCACACCGTTTGTATCCAACTCACTCTTATCCCCTGTTAAACTCTACAACTTTGGCAACGTGAGTTGAAAATTTGTAGCTCTCAGTTCAGAACTCTTCATTGCCACCAGAAAGATATTTCTTTCTCTCCCACCCCCTGTCCCATGCCCTTTCTCCTCTCTCTTCTCTCTCCTCTCTCCTGTTCTCTCGCTGTCTGTCCTCTCTCGCTCTTGCTCTCTCACCGTCTCTCCTCATTCCATCCAGCAGCTCCTGAACACACACTTCTCAAGCACTTGTGAGCATTCTCCAGCACAGATTACATCATGTTTCGGGTAAAGAGTGTGGATTAACGTTGGGGATGTACACCCCACACACATGCACGAACACATACACACATACAAATTAAAATCAAAGACATTTTTCACTTTTTGTCTAGTGCCCCTGAGGCCCTGTGCTGACTACGGTTGCGTAGTTGATAATCCTGGTGCTCAGGTGGTAGAGGCAGGAGGATCTGAGGTTGCAGGCCATCATGGGCTATGTAGTGAGTCAGCCTGGGCTACTTGAAATCCTGCCTTAAAAGATCAACAGTAGGAGCTAGAGAGGCGGCTCTGCAGTTAAGAGCACTCTTTGTTCTTGCAGAGGACCTGTGGTAGTGCACAACCATCTGTAACTCAAGTCCCAAGTGTGCCCTCTTCTGACCTCCATGGATACCAGGTATGCCGTTGGTGCACACAGACAAGCAGGTGAAACACTCAGATACAGCAAAGAAAATAAATCTTCAAAAATTAATCAAGAGGGACCTGGGGACTTGGCTCAATAGTTAAGAGCACAGGCTGCTCTTCCAAAGGTCCTGGATTCAATTCCCAGCACCCACATGATGGCTCACAACCATCCATAATGGGATCTGCTGCCTTCTTCCGGTGTGCAGGTGTACATGCAGAGCACTCAGACATAAAATAAATAAAAATTTTAAATGTTAATTAAACGTGAATGAATAAATAAATAAATAAATAAATAAATAAATAAATAAATGAAACCATTGCTAAATAAATAAATAACAATCTTGCAGTGGTAGCTCACGTCTTTAATCCCAGCATTCAGGAGGCAGAGGCAAGTAGATCTCTGAGTTTGAGACCAGCCTGGTCTACAGAGTGAGTTCCAGGACAGCCAGGACTACACAGAGAAACCCTGTCTCAGAAAAACCAAAAACCAAACCAAACCAAACCAAAACCAAACAACAACAAATAAATAAATAAATAAGCAAACAAACAAACAAACCAATATTGCATGATTCTATTTATTATTTAGCTTACATGTTTTATATCAGTGTTCACGGAAGAACATTAATCTTATTTAATTTATGAGTTATGAAAGTGTGCCACACACCAGCTGTCCTGTGCTTTGTTACCAGTGTGGCACTCGCTTCACAGAATGACCTGGAATCTTTCCTTCCCTGAGACCTGGTATGGCTGATGCCACTTAAATAACATTGGCATTACCCAATCCTTGAAGGCTGACTGATGCTATCTAAACTTGGCTGTTTTACTTTTGGGTTGTTTTGTTTTGTTTTGTTTTGTTTTGTTTTGTTTTTTGAAGACTTGGTTCTTTCCATAATTATTGGTTTGTTTGGGTTTCCAGCTCTTCCGAGTCAAACTGATTACTTACACTTTCCCAGAAAACTATTGTTTCAGCTAGCTTGCAAATGGATTTTGCATGTGGCTGAACTCGGTATTCTCTGAGAATTCTGTTTTCTCTGTATCAATGTCTATTACCTTATTTTGGTGCGGGACTTCATCTATTTGCCTCACCGCTTCCCAACCCTCATTAGGCTAACTAGACTTTAAGAGGTGTCAAATTAGGGATGGGTGGATTGCTTGGTGACTAAGAATGTGAACTGCTCTCCCATAGGACCTGAGCTGGGTTCCCAGCATCCATTTCAGGTGATTCACAACTGCCTGTACCTCTAGTTCCAGAGAAGCTGGTATCCTTGGACTTCACATGTTTTGTATGCACCTGTACATACCCCCCACACAACACATACACACACATAATTTAAAATAATAAAAATAGACAGGCAGAGGTGGTGCACACCTTTAATCCCAGCAGAGGCAGAGGCAGGTGGATCTGTGTGACTTTGAGGCCAGCCTGGTCTACAGAGCAAGTTCAAGTACAGCCAGGGTTACCCAGAAAAGTCCCGTCTCAAAACACAATAGTAGTAGTTATAGTAATAACTAAATAACTAAATGAATATCTTTAAGATGGAGGAACGAAAGTTTCAAAGTCACAGAAAACAGTTTCTCCCGCAGCCTGTTTCCTGTGCACGCAGTCCAAAGAGAGAAGTGATGAAATCACAGCATAAATGGGAAGGTGCTGGCGAAAGGGCCACCTGATAAACACAAGCCATTCAACATACATTTCAATGCCACCTGCCCTTCTTTATCAATTGCCCTGGGACACCCCACACTTCCCTCCCCTAGCTTCCTACACTGGTTAAACCTGCCCTCGCCCACTCAGCACACAGTGGTCACTCCCTCCCAGGGAGGAGCTGGTGTCTCTCTTTTAAGGAGGGGAATCAATTTAAACACTAAAAGGATAAAAGAATAAAACCAACCTAATTAACAAATATTAATATCCTATACCTTTCCCTGTAGGTCTTGTGTGAGTGTATGCGCGCACTTGTGCATGCCTGTTCGTGTGCGTGTAGTGTTCGTGCGTGCATGTGCGTGCAATGGGTGAGAAGCAAAGTGTTCCTGATAAACCAGAAATCTTCCCCCTGAAGTCTCAGCTCCACTCCCCAAAGGCCACCACAGGGCTGCAGTCTATAGTGTCTGTCGTTAATCTATCTCTACTAATCGTATGAGCTTGTTTTATGGTTTTATCGGCCTTATATTGTCACTAATGGTATTGTTTTTGCTGTCCCCTTTTGCAACAGTTCTTAGATTTACTCATGGAGACACAGGACATACACATACTGTATGTATGTGTGGGTATATCAGTCTTATCAAGGTATAACTTAGAGAAAATTAAATTCCCAGCTGTGATGGTATAAACCTGTACAACTTGGTTGGCATTTGGCAAATGGAGGCAGAAGGATCAGGAATTCAAAGTCATCTGCCTGGTGAGTTTGAGACCTGGGCTACATGAGACCTTATCTCAAATAAAGAAAAAAAAAATCAAAACAGAAACTTCAGACGGGAGTGAATAAGCGTGAATATTTGTAATCCCAGCCTTCAGTTGTCCCTTCCATTTTTTTGTTAGTGTCAAAGCTGCCGAGGCCAAGACCTTTTTTTTTTTTTTTTTTTTTTTGCATTTCAGGTGTTGCTGCCCTAGATATCCCAG